AAAATGCTGCATGTAAAGCAAAAAGGGACAAACACTATACCAGATTATTAGTCTAAAATCATTTAAAGTGTATTTCCACTTTTGCATTCAAATTTAGGAAAACCCCTCAATATGTTCGTTATGTGTTCCTGTTCACATAGCATAAGGAAAAAGAACGTTAAAAAAAAATTCTTGACTTTCAGATGTTTTGTTATATCAGGCAAGATGGCAGATTCCAGGATTTTCTTAGCCCTTTCACAGCACTCCGTCCTAATGGAAAGACTTGGGACTGAAATTTGAGGATTGTGTTTATCTGATAAGATTCATTAACATACAATGGACAAGCCAATGCAGAGCCCTCACCCCTCACAGCCCCTTCTAACATTTCAAAGAAATAGAAACAAGACAACATTTTAACCCTTATAATCCTAACCCAAGTAAAAGCAAATTTAAACAGCATTTTTTAAGCTTATACTATGTGAACACCAAGTCTCATTTAGCACATACAAGGCCTTCATTTAGTAATAAGGTTTTTTTCAAATGTCCTGAATATATTTTGGTTCAGTTTTAGTTTGGTTAATGTGCAATACATTTTTGTAGTCCTTCTATTCCAAATATTTCACTGAATTATTTTCTCCTATATATCCCAAGTACAGGGACCTCACATGTGTGAAGGTTTTGCGATATACTTTAATACATGGTTGATAAACATCTGTTTTAGATTACCAAATAGAAGGTATTTTCTAGTGCAAACGGCTGTAATTCTCCAACATGCCAGGGAGGGCATTAACCACTTGCCGTCCGCCCGTTGTAAAAAAACGGACGGACGGCACTGCAGCAGTGGCGGGTTGCCGTCGCCAGACGGCATTTTTTTTCTGCTTGCGCGCGCCTCCTAGCGGGCACGCACGGGCAGAAAAGACCCGACCAATGCAAACACCCATTACCGGGTGTTTCACATATAGACGATCGGTGGCTCCATAGCCCGCCGATCGTCTACATCTCTGCTTCATCAGCTTCTTTTGGGGTCCACAGGTGACATTAGGGGTCCTAGAGACCCCTAATGTCTCCATAAAGAGGACCTGTCAGTGTGCCTTTGCTATTATATAGGGGGATTGTTATCCCCCTATATAATAGCAATAACAATAAGTGCAAAAAAAATAAATATAAATAAAAAAAATAAAAGTTACATATAAAAAAGTAAAATAAAATAAAAGTTACATATAAAAAAGTAAAATAAAATAAAAGTCACATATAAAAAAAGGGGAAAAAACCCCCCCAAAATGTTTAACTCCCCCACCCCCACGTTTACGCGCCTATAAACGTAAATACGCGTCCGGTGCCCCAGCGCGCAAAAATTACAATTGCGCTACACATGTTACATATCGCCGCGAACGTCGCAGTGAGAGCAATCATTTTAGGGCCATCAATCACTGATAACACTAAACTGATGAGCGGTAACAGCTTTTAAAGCGTCGCCTATGGCCAATTTTGGGTATTATCGTTTTTTGAGGTTTTGCGCGCGCACGCAATTTTAAGGCTTGACATGTTTGGTGTCTTTTTACCCGACGTGACCCCGTCTTTTATATTTTACCACAAAATTGGGTAATAATAAATGTTTTATCATTTAATATAGGGGAAACTGTTTTTTTTTTTTAAATTCGGTAATTTTTCCTTAATATAGTAAAAAAATAAAACCCCCAGTGGTGAATAAATACCACCAAAAGAAAGCTCTATCTGTCCCCAAAAAAGGGTATAAAATTCATTTCAGTACAGCGCTGCATGACGGAATAAATGTCAGTCAAAGTACCGCAGCGCTGAATACTGAAAAATGGCCTGGATGGGAAGGGGGTTTAACACCGTGGATGTCAACTGGTTAAAGAGAGCCTGTCAGAAAATCATCCTTTTTAACAACAATCTTTACATAAGATTATATGTGCATTAATGTATTTTATGAATGTTATTTACCTTAAGAAGTCTTTGTGTAAACATCCTAAAAGGTCTAAACTTCTGCTTGGTACCACCATCTAAATCTGGCCATACAGCTATAGATTATCTGCAGATTTTCTGTGGTCAGATGGAAAAAGTGCAACAGATTCTTCCATCTACACTAAACTGTGTAGATGGAGACAGATTCCTCCATCTACACAGTTTAGTGTAGATGGAAGAATCTGTTGCACTTTTTCCATCTGACCACAGAAAATCTGCAGATAATCTATAGCTGTATGGCCAGATTTAGATGTGTTGTCAGCAGCCCCAATCACTCACGGGGATACTCTATAGCATTGCTCCTTCTCTGGCAGCTACAAAAATAAAAAGGTTATTCATAGGGTAAAAAGGTAGGGGTGGAGGCCCTGGGCCAGAACAAATAATTTGACAAAGGAGGAGTGGGCTACGACATGCAAGGAGGAAGAGGGTCATGTTAGGGAAGAAACCTCCTAGGAGTAGTCATGTTTTTTGGCACAATCAAAACATCTTTTTTTTTTTTTAAGATGGTGACAGCATCTCTTTAATGACCAGTTGGGCCTCCTTGAACATTGAATAAAAAAAAACAACAAAACTGTGCGAGTTTAATAAATAACAATGATTTCTAGATCATCATAGTGTGTGCATGCAAAACAATAAAAACAAAAAGCTACCCATAAATGTACATAGGGGGTGCACTAAAAAGCATTACAGCTCATCAACCCAGCTCGTTATACCAACATGGTGGCCTTATAATTATTCTTCTACATGTATGGGAATACCTATGTGTGATAGACATTAGTGTGTGATAGACATTAGTGTGTGTGTGTTGCTTTCATTACATTTTTACTACTATCATAAAAGAAAACACATGGTGCCACTGGGGTGTAGGAGTGATAGGGTGGTTTTACAGCCAATGGTACTAGATGTTTTTACAGATTGACGGACTTCATTTCGGCAATCATTTAAAATCTAACATTATCATTACCTACAAGAAGTCTTAAGAATTTCAATAAGCTAGTAATGTCTTTTCCTAGTAGACATTTCTTAGCCTTAACGGGAGCCGTAGGATGGATTTTTGCCAATGAATATCAAACTGGTAAGTACCATCATCTTAATGGTTGTGTGAGGATTACTGGAGCATGGTAAAGCTCATTAGCTTGCTTAATCCAGGATAAATACAAAGCAGTGCAGCTGCCTAAAGCAGTTACGTGCACAGCGACAGTATCTTCTGTTGCAGTAAATCAAAGAACACCATCCATTCTATTGAGAGTAATATTTATGAGCACTTCAACTGTCTAGGTAAATGATCACTTCATAGTCAATGGAAAGAGGCTATAATCAGCTGTTTTTATAGCAGTCCTGGCAGAACATTTTACAAATGAGATCCATTTAGTAGTATTTATATTTTAAGTTAAGGTCCAGAACTGTGTACTTTAAGAACCACCATCTAGAAAAAAAAATAAAATGTATTATTTGGTATATAATGTTTTCAAGGACAAGTTGATTGGCGCCTTAAAGAATAAGGGCACTTTCTCACAAAATGTGGAAAGGGGGTAACAGTGCACTGCCCTGGTGACCAAGGGGAAGGAGAGGGGAAATAGTGACTTGATGCCAATGAAGACCTGGGTGTGCTGCTCCATGTGATGGAATGAGGCAATCCCGTGGCAAAAACGTGCATAACACAAAAGAAAAATAGGAACGCAACTCCCTATAGTGCATTATTGCTAAGAAATACAGGGAATGTTAAAAAACAAAACAAAAAAACACAGGTGGTTGCACTTACAAACAGAAATTATGGTAGGGGGTGGTGTAACTGATGTGCTAGGAGAGGACTAATGGAATTAGTTTGCGAGAGGCGCAACTTCCAGGAACTTGCTGAGGTCTGGGTGACGAGTGGTGCCTGCAACGGAAACAAACAGAAGGCACAGACCAGCGAACTGAGTGATCGTGTGTAACTGGGAAACACTTGGAAAAAACAATGAATAATAATTGCACTTAGATAGATGTTTTTATAAAAGGTGCCCATACATCGATCGATTTGCGTTCGGAATTCGCCCACGAATGGTCTTTCGAACAATAATTGATCAGTTGATAAGACACCAACGATTCTAATTACTGTACTCCAGGCCAAATTTCCTCAATCGATCAGGCTGAAATGGTTTTTTACAATTGTGCAAAAAAAAAACAAAAAAAAACGATGGATTAGTGGCGTTTTTGTGAGAAAAAAAAAGAAAATTACCAGCAAGAACAGTGCACATGCACAAACCAAAATCTGTTCTGTTGAACGCCAAAATTCGGTGAGTAAGTAGTGCTAACGAATGATTATCGAAATCGACATTGGTCTGTGCTTGATGGGCTATTTGAGCCAGAATCGAAAGAGGGTTATTGGCAGCAACAAAAATTGCAGATCAAAAATCTATAGGTGTGTGCCCAGTTTAAGGGTGCTTGTTATGCCCGAGGCTGTGACCGCATGGTCCCTTTAAATTGTCTTGCTGGTTGGCAAGAGCGGTGAGTGATCCTGGCTGGTACAAGGTGGCTGGTGGAGGCTCTGTTCCTGATCCTGAAGGAAGCTGGCTGATAGAAGTGAGCAGGCTGGTGGAGGGAGGGCAGTGTGAAAGCTTATGGGTTTGTAAGGTGGCTTATAGCACCAGCATTGTGATCAGAGTGAATTAGATCTGTGTGAACTTTCACGCTGCAGCCAAGGAACACTGTAGTGATTGAGCTGTGCTTTTTCATTGAAACCAATTCTTAAAAGTCTCCATCCTTGCAAGTTGGCAAAATAAACCTATATGGGGATCGACTGTCCAGGCAAAGCAGAGTGTGCATCTTGGCTGGAGTAGGGGGCTAAAAGGATAAGTGCACATTAAATTGCACCAATCTTTAAAATCAAAGCAGGTTTAGGCAATAGGAGTATAAAAACACATATACAGTTTAATATTTAGATCAGGTAAATACAAAGAGAAAGCATGGATTCTACCCCCTTCATATCTACGTTGTCGTACAGATGCATCAAATCAAGCAATACATCCAACTGATAAGCACAGTTAAATCACCTTCTGCTGTTTTATTGTTAAATAAATGTTACTCTGCAATATTATTCCAAATTTGTACAGCTACATTATTAAACAATGTGCAAATGTTCAGAAAAATCAACTCTTAACAATGTAAACAAAATCATTCTGTTAAATATCTTTCACAGAAAACAAGTTTCAATTTTCCAAACTTTAGAACGTTCAGCAATTCAGAACAAAGAACAAGGAAGTGTCCCAAAAGATCAGACTATATGTATCGGTTATTGCTTCTGCTTTAAGATCACTGGAGGTCACTGAAGAAGTCCACACTATTGGGGCTTTGAAAACTCAACCAGGTATTCAGACATAATGTCATGAACCCACAAGTCAGTGTCTGGGAGAGATGTATCCACCAAGTACACCACAACCTTCCGATCCCACGGATTAGTGCTTTCTTGAACTGCTTGTATAAGTGCCACAAGGGGTTTGTTTTCCACGTGATTTCTGAAAACAATGGAAGCTTCCTCAGACCAATGATCGCATTTGATACCTACAAAAGAAACACGATTCATTTTCAAAACATTTACGTAACAAAAATCAGGATTTAACAGACAATAAAAGTATAGGGAAAGCCAAAACTGTTTTTTGTGTGAACATGAAAAGTTCTGAGCAGCTGTTATTGTGTTGTACTTCTGAGATTCACCCCTGTATCACCAGACCACAAAATAATGGAAAATCCAAAATGTTACACTTGTCACCGGAAATGGTAAAAAGGGAAATCTTTACATTGGAACAAACACCGGTGTTCTATCGAAAGTCCCAACTCCTCGAGTTTTGCAACCATCTTACTTCCGGTTTCGTTAGAAATAAGAGGTTTGTCCGAGAAGGCTCTAGTGGACGTGCCCCACCCGCGGCATTTGCCTATACACATACCGCTCAGCAATAAAGTATTAAAATGAACTAGGTTTAGGGCCTGTTCCCACCGAAAGCGTGTGCATTCTATAGCGGTAGCTACTTGAACGCACCGGGATCGTTAAGAAACTTCTCCCCGCAAGCCCTATTTTTTTGCGTTTGCAGAGGAACGGAACGCTGGCAAAGTCTTGCCACGCGGTCGATCGCACTGCGTTTTGGGGCGTGGCAGTGCATTGAATTCAATGCACCGCAACGCCCCAAAACGCAGGAAGAAGTTTCTTAGCGATCGCTGTGCGTTCCAGCAGCTACCGCTCTGGAACGCACGCGGTTTCGGTGTGAACAAGGCCTTACAGTAATCCAGCACGTTATTAATCTGAGTTGCAAGCGGCGGCCATATTGAGTGGGGCAACTGAGATAAATAACATGCTGGATTACTGTAAACCTAGTTCATGTAATACTTTATTGCTGTGTGGTATGTGTATAGGGAAATGCCGCGGGTGGGGCTGAACTGTAGGCACATATAAAATGACACAAATGAATGCCCTGTCGTATTAATTATCACATCTTTGGACATTTATTTTTGTTTTTGTGGGCAGTATGGGTACCTGAATGTGACTTGGCATTTTCCTTTTGCACTCCCTGTCCAGCAGAGTCTAGAGCAGGGGAGGAAACCGCAACAACAAAAAAAGAGCCATTCAGTTGTGCTGCAGTGCTCATTTGCTAAGAACATGCTGATAGGGTGAGAGAGCAAAGTGACAGAGGGGCATATCAACATGCCACTTCTATTTTTACTGTGTAGTCGCAGTCTGGGGTGGGTAGGAGACCTTAAGTGTAAATAAACCACAAAAGAGATACTGTATATCAGGTTACCTGTCCTGCTGGACAAGGTTGTTCAGTCTTCTAGAGCTGTGCAAAGCTCAGCAATGGATGGACAGGAATACAAGTCCTTAGACAGGTAAAGCAGCTTCCAAAAAGGGTATTTAATCTATTATTCTGCTGATTATCTTGAGTTCAGCTATACAGCAAAGCTACAATTATCTTACTACCAATGTCAGACATTTAAAGGGAGAACTATGAAGTCAGTGCTTTTCCCCATAGTTCTCGTACGGGTCACGTGAGAACACAAACTAGCGTTCTCCCGTGATCCAAAGCTCAGTATATTGCGAGCTACAGCTTTCGATGTATTGAGACGCCGCAGCCGGGATGGATCCCGACAATACTGTCTGGATCCACCCAGCTGTGGGATTGACAGCTGGCTCTGCCTATCCAGAGGCAGATCCAGCTGTGCCCGCCCCCTCCCCTGTTTCGCCAGTCAGCGCTGGAGGATCGGACAGGGGGTGGGGGGACAGGATCGAGAAGTGAGCGAGCGCCGGTATGTGTTACAGCGTGCATACCCGTGCAGGGACCTGCTCCTGGGAGGGACTGATGCTGCATGTAATTGTGTGCAGTGACTGTACCTCTCTGTGCAGGACAGTGTGTGGGCACCTGGAACCTGCACAGATATGCAGGTTCAGGTCAGCGTGTAGCCACATGCAGCCGCATCCTCCCATGGAGATGTACAGACAGCTGCACGCAATTACATACAGCACCATGTGTCTCCTGGGAGCAGGTCTGTGCACACCTGTGTAAATGAACCCTATACCATAAACACGAAACATGCAACATTTGGCATAATCATTCAACTGCTCAGTATATGCGCCCAGCATTTGCAACATTAAAAATCCTCCAAACTATTGTACGTCCTAGAAGTGCACCTGAGCCCTTATTAAAGTACCACAAAGATAATTCACCTTTCCTTCCTCAAGTCAGCTTAGCACTTCAGGACTATTCAGCTTTCATCCAGGTTCCAAACCAGATTGTGACAATTTAGAGGCAGAGACAATGAATGAATGAAATTTAAACTAGGATAATAAATCTGTTCCTATATGTACTAGAAATCAGGGATGTGACAGCTAAAAGACTCCGATGATGCAACCAAATTGATCACTTCCCCCCTTTGTATTAACTTCGGTAAATACGATCACAAAAATGCGTTGAACTTACCACATGCATAAAAAAGGAACACATTTTGGTGATGACTAAACAGAGATTAATAAGGTAACATAGGAACATATGGGAAAGGGGGCTAGTGGTTAAATAGCGGTTTCATGTAATTGCACCACACCGTAAAATTATTTCTGCTTGTGAATCTACCATTTTGAAGAAAATGATGATGAGATAAAACCCTGAACACAAACACCTTAGTGAAATGACCACCAAAAGGGGTCAAAATGAAAAATACAATGGGAGGTCCCCAGTCATAATATTCTTACCTGCAAGCTGACTTGTGACAGCCTGAAAGGGTAGTTGTCTGAATTTCTCAATTAGAGGCTGCACTTTCCGGGAATTGACAAGCTCGTGCCTGCCATAGTCCAGCTCATACACAGACACCATGCCATTTGTGAGGATTCCTTTCAAGAGAACCCTGTACCACCTAAAAGGATAAAGTGAAGATTATTTTATTAAGGACATACAATCTAAGCAATTCAGGACTGCTTTGAAGGCAAACTCGTCATCAAGAAACAAGACATTTCAGTTATTAAAAATATAATACAATAAGAGGTCCACAGAGATATTCAATTCAGTCTCATCTATCCACAGACTAGTCTTGATTTTCCCATTTTATTTGTGACACTGGCACGTAGAACTAGGCCAGGCCAGTCCGATCCAACACTGTTCATCCAAAAACCATGGCTGTGCTTTTCAAACAGCTGTTATGTAGCTCCCAACCACTTACCAAACTACAGTAAATGTCAGTGTACAGCAGTAACAATATGTGGTGGCTGCAAATAAGGCCTGTTTCACATCTTGGCGGCCAGGGACGTTGTGCGACCCGCGTTTTTGCAACCACGCGCATTCCTAGCCGAGATTGGGGTGCCATTAGAAATAAATTGCACCACAAGCGTGGTTTGCATTCGTGCACGCTTCTGGCATCGCTCAGATGTGAACCAGGCCTAAATGCATTCACAAAGATCATATAGCAGTATACCAAAACTGTTGGTAATTCTTAAAACTGTGTGACCCATGCCTTTCTCTGCTAGGATTCAATCACCCCTTAAAAAGAGGAAAGACCCTTATCTTTGAAATAACAACAAATACACCTTTAGAAATGTTTAGTAATGGCAATCTACAAACACATACTTCTAGATAATTGCCGGCTTTTTATAGATAATTGCCGGCTTTTTATTCTTTACATCTTATTTCGCTTTTCTTCCCCAGTCTTTTGACAGTGGCCATGTTTACCAAGGGCAGGTTACAAGATCTCCCTTTACTTCCTGGAATTCTGGCACATGTGACCATGCACACCATCTCAGGTGAGGAAAATGCCTTTCCCAGAGATCTCATGAGATTACAGATCAGATTTCCCAGCAATGCTCTTCTGATGTAATCTTTCCAGGATGCAACACTTTACATCATTTGTGCCAAAGTGGACCAGGAAGTAGATGAACTCTATGTGCAAGTAAAAAAATTATAATATATGTTTAACTAATGAATGTAAAATGATTTCATATCAGCATGCAGAGCTGATTTTTTGTGAAAGGGGGCAAATGTCCACTTTAAAAACTATGATGGTTGGGTATGATGGCAAGTGGGAGGGGCTACAAGAAAAAGCACAGTAAACAGTGGGAATGGCTAGTTGCAACAGAAAGTGAATTACCCTAACTTTCCACTGAATGGTAGAATTTGTATATTTTGTCACAAGCTTCCAGCAGGTTTCGATCAAAGGGGCAGCATTGATAAGCTAGGAAAATATACCTGAGATACAATGAAAATGTGGTGATGAGTGTATTTTAAATCCAAAACGTCTTTAGGTGTTTTTACACAGCTCCACATTGTTAGCAACCTCTCTTTCCCTACTATCTCAAAGCTGCCAGATCTAAAACTTTGATATTTCAGATACCACCAATTCACACAGTCCAAGCCTTCACTGGTTCATTAGATTCTTAGTGACCCTAAGTATTACATAACCAATAGTTTCCAAAATTCCTTAATGACCATTTAAGACTAAGACTGTCCCTCGTGCAAAAAGCATTTAGAAGATCTATAGAACCCTCCCACCTCCTCAGTGTCCCTACTTTACTTCAAATGCTTGGGGAAAGCAGGTTGGTTATGCCATTAAAATCATATTTCTGGTAAGAGTAAACATCAATTTTCTCCTCCACTATGATAGCCCAAGCTGAGATCTCCACATCTAGGATGAATAACTGCTAAAACAATGTGTAGCCCAAATAGAGGTCTTGTTAGTCCTGTATAGTTTGCCAGAAGTATAAAGGTTTATATCCATGTTGCTGACCTTTGCAGAATTACTGGCTGTAATTTAGCTTCTTTTCTACCTAAAGAGCCTGAAGCATAGACATAAGTTGAGCTGGTCAAACACTGTGCAAATTTGCACAGTGGGTGCCTCTGTCAGGACCTGGAATCCTTTGAATCAGAAAATCGAAGTAGCTGGATGGAAAATCTTTGGCCAAACAGTGATATGACTTAATCAGCTGCCATCAAAGTTCAAGTATTTTGACAGCGGGCACACCCGCCACAGCCAGAATAGAAAAGGACACAGCAGGAGATTCCTCCAGCCACAGTGTAAGACCAGCTTAAAGGGATACAATGAGTTCAAGGTCATCCTATGACTGGCTGCTTTGGAGAAGCAAACAAACTTTTCCAGTTTTTTGTTATTAGCCACAGCCTTAGCCCAAATAGTGCCTAAGCTATATACTTACTTGTTATCCACCTTTGCAGCATATACTTTATTTTTCTCAATGTCCACTTGCTTCTCCTCAGTACTGCTGTAGTGTAAAAGCATTTCTTCCATAACTACTTCCAACTTGTGCAACTCCTGCCATGGCTGGAAGACAAAATGGCCAGGGTGGCAAGCCACAGATACAAAAACATCCATGTGTTCACTGCTCTTTGGCAGAGGTAAAGGGGGTGGCAGATCCAAGGAAGGGCCAGTGCTAGTCTGCTCAGTGATGGGTTTCTTTGGAATGCTAGCTTGATCCTTCCGCTGTGTGGCTGTAGGTGTGCTAGCATCACCTCTGCCTTTTGATAAAGAGGTAGCAGTGCTAGGCAAGTTCTTCTGTTTCCACAACTCCACATTTGTAATCTGGCGATTGACACTTCGTTCAGGATCGGCAAAGTTCTTTGATGTAAAGAGGTAAACATACACCATTCTTTTTGCTCCATCTATATTCACTACCTGCTCAGAACCAGAAAAAGAATCTTCAGTTAATCAAACACTTTAGGACAGGGTCATAAACTAAAAACAAACATTCTGTAAGCTGTCTGATTTCAGATTGTCCCAAAAACCATGATAGTACAAAAAAAGGTTACAACCCTGTGCAAATAACCTCAAAGCTGAGCTCCAGGGGCAGTACACTGAATGCAGTTCTCCATTTAAAAAGAAATGTGAATGCTAAATGTACCTAGTTGTAAGCACCCAAATTTGACTTTTCCTGCCTCTTGTAAACCCCTATACAAGAGCACTCAGACTGAGAAGGGAAGTCACAGTACTTGGGACCAACAAGCACATGTGCTGATGAGAAAAATACTGACTGGGGGTGACATCAGTCTGTTGCCGCTTCTTTACTGCCCAATCACAGAATGGGATGGGGCGGTGAACTAGCTATCTGCAGTATAAACAGGTTTGGTCACCAGCATGGCAGAGCTATGTAAATCTTAAGACTGGATGAGTACAAATATCACACAAAACGCGCACACACACACTATCCCAATGAATATGTCCGGTTGGCTGATATTGCAGATATAAATTCAGGGGTAGCATTGCTGGAGCCGAATGCCCCCTCAAGCAGCCAGGGCAATGACTCTACCAATAAGGATGGGAACATGTGTATAGGGGGGGGGAAGGGAGACTGATGCTGGTATTAGGGGATTCATTATTAGGACAGAGTAATCTGTCACCAGGGCCATGATCGCCAAACAGCAGTTTACCAGGTGCTTGGGTTTAACACATTGTGGATCAGGTTGACAGATTTTTGGGTGGGTGGGGCTGGGAAGGACCCAGCTCTCATGGTACACATTAGTACAAATGACAAAGTAAGAGGAAAATGTGTCCCAAAAATGAGATCAGGGACTTGGGTAAGGTAAAGAAAAGGACCTCCAAGATAGTACTATTAGTATTTTCAGAAACACTTAACAGCAGGGAAATTACATCTAAGTGCATGATAGTACAGAAGAAGAGAGATGGATATTACAACTTTAACCACTTCCCAGCCGGCCGTTGTAAAAAAAGAAAAACGGCCGGCCAGGAGCTTTCTAGATCTGAGCGCGTGTCTTTGGACGTCCGCTCAGCCACGCCCCTCGCATGCGCCGCTGGGAGCGCGCGAGCGGGAAATGCCGATAATTGAAAAAGGCAGCGATGCCCGTTAATATACAAGCTTATGAGGTCCCGGGACGTGCGCCCCCACCCCCCGCTGGTCCTGGGCTCCGCTGTGCCCGGTGCGAGCCCGGGACCAGCATACTGCCTCTGTCACAGGGGATCAGAGGGAGGTCGGTACACGACCTCACACAGGTTGAGAACCACTGTTTTAAAGCATCGCCTATGGTCAATTTTGGGTATGGTAGTTTTTTGCGATTTTGCAGGTGCGTGCAATTTTAAAGCATGACATGTTTGGTGTCTATTTACCCGACGTGACCCTGTCTTTTATATTTTACCAAAAATATGGGTAATAATCATTGTTTCCTAATATAACGGGGGAAAAACTTTTCAATAATTTTTCCTTAATATAGTAAACAATAAAACCCCCAGTGCTGATTAAATACCACCAAAAGAAAGCTATCTGTCCCCAAAAAATGGTATAAAATTCATTTCAGTACAGCGTTGCATGACGGAATAAACGTCAGTCAAAGTACTGCAGCGCTGAATGCTGAAAAATGGCCTGGCCAGGAAGGGGGTCTAAACACCTGGTCTTCAAGTGGTTAAAGGAATCTTACCTTGATGCTACACTCTGAACAGTTTAAAACTGCGTTTCTGAGCCACAACACTGCATCTGGTGTCCACATACCAATGTTATGTGGAAGATCTGCAAGACAGCACCTGGTAGCCTACAGATAAAGTATAAAAATACAGCTAGTAGTGGTCAGCATGTTCAAACATGAAAAACTACCCAAAATCATAATGACATAATTTCAAAAGACAAAACATTAATAAACAAAAATTAAAATAAAAAGGCAGAACCCAAGCCACTTGGTGGCACCAACACTATTAATCAAACAGAACTGCAGTCATGAATACTACAAGTTCCGGATTGGAAGCTACTGTACTTGAATTGTTAAGTCTAATTGCTAGCCAAGCGCACATCGAATAAGACATCAATGAACCTTTTTAACTGTTTTAATGCAATAATCACTTTCAATATAATATAGTCAATTAATGAATTTCAATATGCGATGGTAACTGGAAAAATTTAATAAAATGATCATGTTCGTATAGACTGATCACTGCATATACAACACAGTCTGCTTAAACAATCTAAAAATATGCAATGAAAATTAAATAAAATGATCATGTTCGTATGGACTGATCACTGCATACACAACACAATCTCTTTTGAACATAGTTGGAAGTTTCCAGAGTTTTTTCCAGCTTTCATCTGTTATTCGATTGAACGAATGGATTATGTGTATGACCAGCATCAGATCTGGTGGTTGCATCATCTAAAGTCAAATTTAAAGCTATTTAAAGCTCATTCAGGTGCATGATGCTTTCATTGTACAAACCAGCAAGTATGAAAATGAAATAAATGTTTTTACTTGACCACAAAGCTTTAAACATATAGAAAGTTTCAAAAAGAAAAAAAAAACTGAGGGTATGGATGAAACAGTCCCCAGTACAATAAACAGGTGTAACAGTTTAAGTACCTGAGGTGGTATTGAAATTATATCTCGCAGATATTGAGAGGGAATTTCTTTCAGTTCAGACACTTTAACAGAAGCAATAGTTCCAGAATCAAGGAACTTAACATCTATTGTGCGACTGCTGTGGACGCTTGTTATCTGCAAAGAAATTAACACCATAAAGCATAATATTCAGTCATTTAAAACCTCATTTTGCACATACCCACAATTTTCACTGTGGGGGGGGAAACCCCCTCGTCAATACACAGCTTAGAAATCCACTTTTGAAAATTCAGATTACAAGGGAATGTATAGTAGTTTGCACATATTACGGTCAGGATTGAATACATTTGAAAAATTTATATTATTCTTGCACTCTAGTCTAGTATCTTTAACACACCATTCGCATTGTTATTTTTCATTAGTAATAAAAAGTCCGCTTGCAGTCATAGCAGTGACTCATCCCATATCAGACAACTTAGTAGATCAGACAAAAGCAGCTGCAAAAGATGCTTTGCTGTGATCTCTCTTTTGCCGAGCAAAAGTGCTTTGAGAAGCCTTTGTGCATTTAAGATTTGCTTGGAAAACATAGATTGTGTGTTGGGTTAGGGTCAACTTTTTACTGACGTTGGTCTATCCGGAGACTTTTATTCTAAATCAGCAACACCTGTAAAAACTCAGGGACAAGCCTGAAAAATTTAAAGTGGAAGCAGTGTGTGTGTCCTAAGAACCTGATGTAACGGAATAAAACTTAGGCTGGGTTCACACCTAGGCGTATTCAATATGTGCGTTTGTCGTCGCGCGTTTTTACAGCGAATCGCGGTAAAAACGCGCGTTTGTACTTGGCTGTATCCCAATGGAAACGCGAGACCAAAACGCCCCAAAGAAGTAAATGTACTTCTTTGGGCGTAGGCCGTTTTGTACCGTGTTCGGACGGGCGGAAATACGGCAAGGTGTGAACCAGACCCATTGAATACAATGGGATTTAGATGTTTGAGCGTTTTGTAGAGCCCATATGGGCAGCTTAAGACAGTTGATAGGAAAGCTTATCACTGGACCCTCATCATGGCTTAAGTAGGGTATACATGGGTAGATTTTCGTCTGTAGATTGCATCATAAGAATTGATAGATATTCAAACAAACGTTCCGAAAATGACTCCTTTCATATGAAATTCTAACTGTGTATACCCTACTTTAGAGATGAAGGTAAAGGAAGTACAAACAAAGGAGGATTAAAAATATAAAACAGGAGGTATAAGTCACTTTGTGTTTAATGTCCAGGTTAGAACAGAGGTTAAGGATAAAGAAGCACCATCAGGAAGATTATTGGTGGGGGTTAAACCGGAGGAAAAGGAAGAAAAAAACAAACAGTTATACTATTCATTTCCACAACACTGAATTTCTGGTCTATTTGTAGAAATGAGGGATGCAGTAGCTCAGCCAATTTGTCTTCACTGAGACAGTGTTGTTCCTAGATATGAAAGTGAATAAAACCTACCTCCACACGTGTCCATTTCCCCTTGCTCTGGAACAAGCATATTTTTCCGCAGAATGGGAGGGAGACACATAAATCCGAAGTGACAGTCTAGTAAATAAAAATATTTAGAACTTTTACTGATATTATCATAGTAAATACACGTTTCCAGCTTTCACTAATATCATACATAATACAAAACTGTAAAATGCATCCCTGAAACATATCTGCATGTACAACATAGACAGGAAATTTGCATTACAAGCCATGATGACTAAGAAGATAAACAATGACTAAATCATTTAAACTCCAAAGCTAGCCATAACCAAAGAATCGCCCTATTCAGCCCATGGACTGAAAGTCATAAAATCACTTGGTCCCCCCATCCAAGCTAAAAAGAATGAAGGGAGGAATCTCCACTGCCAGCTTTTGTATTTAGACAGGTTTGGCATCCACAGCTGTCAAAACACCCAAACAGTGACTGCAACTGATTGGATATAAGAAAGGGGCTTTGTGGTGACCACTGGAGAATAGCAGGGAATTGATCCAATAATAAAGTCAATTGATTCATATATACAATAAAATTCCATTTTTAATATACTCAATTCATAATGTCTATACATATAAATATGATAAAATCCATCCATATAAAAAACCATAAATAGATGTATACATAAATAACCTCCCTGGAACCCACACAGAAACCATGATTATAAATTAATATATTGGTCATTGCCCTCATTGTATTCATATCTTATTTGCATGATTAATTGTACATAATTGTTCTATATATCATTAGTTCAGCCATGATTCTGTGCTTGCTCCAGTCTTCAACGCGTTTCGCCGAGGCTTCGTCAGGAAGATTTGGAGAGGTTAACCTATAGTATTTGTATGGGTAAGGTCCAACTCTATGTGTGAACTTGGAATGGACCCATATTGTAGTTAAATAGTATACCTTGTACTGGTGAAACTCCTCGGACTGTCAGGGGCAATTCCTTCTCTCAGACCCTCCAACTGTCCCCCCTCCATGCTCCCACTATGCAACCCCCATGTCGTCCCATTGACGGCATCTAACGTGGGCAGATAGGACGGGCCAGTAGTCTGCACATGCACCCTTATAAGCACATCCGAGAGTGGGAGTTCCACTAAATAGGCGTGGCCCCTCCCCAGCCAGCTGCTCTGCCTGTTGGGGCGGCACCGCAACATAGAGTTGGACCTTTTAACTAATATCAGACACCATATCTCCATGAGGGCTGGAAATTATTTCCTTTTAACTTTGGACACATTGAGAGAATGGAAACGGTGCAGATAGAGGTCATGGACCTGAAATTAGCAGTTATATATATTTGATAAGTGAAGTTGTATAGAATGGTTTATAATTTGTGGAGACTGATTTGGACCTGATCATGTTGATGGTAGTTTGTTTGTTCAGGGCGGTTTCCCTTGGACTATGGACTTATGGATGTGTTGGCAATTATTGGAATAGAGATCAGGAACATATAATTTAACCCTATAGGTACGATTGGGATGGATGCTTCGCTTCCTTGCTTTCGGACTGCCTCCCCCCGGCGCTCCTGTCTCCTGGTTGGGTGGGGAGACTCCCTGCAGATGGATATTCAATTACCGGAAAAAGAATAATTAAGTTGGTATTTAATGCATTATAAAGATATATGGTCAGCAGATATTAATGATTCTGATATATCTAATATCATGTAGACTACTGCAAATTGATTCTCATACCCATACAAATACTATAGGTTAACCTCTCCAAATCTTCCAGACGAAGCCTCGGCGAAACGCGTTGAAGACTTGAGCAAGCACAGAATCATGGCTGAACTAATGATATATAGAACAATTATGTACAATTAATTCAGAATTAACTCAAATTTCAGCGGTAATTGGCCTATATTTGAGCCACGTATGGCCAGCCTTAGCATTTTTACAGTCAGTGAACAGTAGCTGTTAAACCAACATTAAATTAAAGTTTCGGACAAACGGCTTTGTGGCACCAAGCAGATCTGCACAGTGAAGAGCACTGCAATGAGGTGGTCAGTATTTAGCACGGAAGACTGCATTCAGGTGGTTGGAGTTATTTATTAGGGCTTGTTCAAGTTGACTTATCCTTTAAGGCAACAGACCCTTTTTAATGATAAAAATGTATGCACTTCAAAGGCCAGAGAGAGTTTACTATTAAGTGAGATGGTACACCTCCATATTTGCACATATTCTGCATTTGTTGATCTCTGTGTTACTTATCTCCACTTTTGTAGCCGCGTTGGGATAACACCTACTCTATAGTTGTTACATGTTCCCCATTCACATAGTAGATTTGCTGCTTCCATTTTTAAATGTCCTTTTCCGAGTACTCCAGGACTAAAAATTCCTACTTGGTTCTCAATAGCTATGTAATCTTTATGTTGGGGAGGAAAAGTGTTTGCCATAATTAAACCTGTTTGTACTGTGCTGGAAGGTTTCATTATCCGACCTAACAAAGGGTTTAAGATCTCAAGACAATTGTATGTTAATGCACTCTCATCCCTCCCTTATCTTCACATATTTCACAAATTTGACAGCAAAGCTAAAAATACACTTTAAAGCTGAACTACAGCTTTAGCAACAAAGTCAGACCTGAGAGCTTGGTCCATTGTACAAGAGACAATCTGCAATAGCATTTAAAAATGTTTTTGTTTTACTTTGAAATAGTGTTCATGTGACATTTTCAGAGCACTTCCTATATAGCCTACCTCCGGTCTGGAGTGGGGGCTGCTACGTCACAGTTACACATACTGTATGCATATGACTACATTTTACTGCATTCTCTCTCACAGTCCTTACTTGGCAATATATAAAAGGAGGAGAGAGGCTACCCATTATGTTAGGAGAGGAGCCTATTTATGTATATGCATGCTCGTTGCCAACTAAGCTACAGCTATAAACACTCACTGGCTGTCACTGTTTGCACAGATTAGTGCATCTCCCCCCGCCCCCCCCCCCCCCCCCCCCTTATCTATATTAACTCTCTCTCTCTCCAAATCCATGGGTGTGCCATCTCCTGCACTGATCCGTGGCTCTCCATTCCCCCAGATATAAATTCATACTTCACGCTCAGTGTCCGTCACTGCTTAGGTGGAGCTTATGCTTAATACTTCTGTCCTCCCACTTCGTTGCCTAGATTTTCAACTAAGTTTTAATAAATGGCCCAAGGTGGGACAATCCTCTGAAACTTAACAGTGGCTCGGACACCTTCTAGTCACACTAGGGCCGTGATTACAATGAGATGCACTTAAAGTAACTACAGGGAGAAAGAGACCTGCCATCAGTGCTTCTTTCATCATCTCCTGCATGCCTGGTATTGGAAGTACACAAACCTAACATTTTCCTCTCTGTATGCATCTAGCGCAAGATAAAATCAACAAAGAACAAGGCTAATATAAGAATTAAATATACACTTTTCAGGTAATTGGGGTAACGGGAACCAGCTTTGAGACTGCAATTACTCCTCTGAGTACTTTCCTCTGTCCTGCAGCCGGGTCCCTTGGAGTCTTAGCAGCTACTGACACTTTTTCTTACAAGGTTATTCACAAAAGGGTGAAGAGCTTGGAGAAGCAATCAATCTAGGACAAAATATCTGATATGGAAAAATTCTCCAATTCAGCTCACTTTCCAGTTCAGCTACGTTGTCCTAGATTATTCACTTCTCCTGCCTTCTCCAAACTCTTCACCCTTCTGTGAATAACCCTGTTAGTTGCAGCAGAGGACAGATCTGTAAGGAGAAGGCTCTTATTGACTGTTGAGATAGAGGTAGACACTTTGTCCTACACAGATCCGTTCCTTTGTTGTAGGAAACGCAAGTAAAATTGAGACGGTGGCAACTGGGACTCTTGGTCTAGCTCTTGGACAGAAATAGGTATATAGCAACTTCAGCATTCATGCAATATCCACTTAAAAACCCCTTTTTTTATCAACCTTAACATTTTAAAATCTAGTTATGGTTATTAGGTGCAAAACCCTAAAGATATTAAACATTTAAGAAGACTGGCATACCTTAGAATTGAAGTGGGTTTCAACTTTCTGCAAAGTTTCATATAGTTTGGTCAGGCCCTTTGATGGGACTTGACAAAATAAGGTACCATCAGAACAAACGTTCGTGACAATTACATTTGTGTAGGAAGAATTCACCTAAAATAAAAAAGGAAATGTAAAAAACACTTATGCTTTGCCAACAACAAAAAACTGTTTTCATAAAGCACATAGGGAGCAACATATTTTTGGAACTAAAAATCGAAGGTTTCAACACTACCATGATGGCAACTTTCTGTTGTGTCAGTTATATGAAGACGTTTATAATCTTGTTATACAACAAAGTAGTTCAAAATCAGAAGCCTGATCACTCACCTTCAACTGTACGCTCAGAGAACGATCACATAATTCTCTCAGACAGATAGAGTTTATATTTATATCATCATCTCCTGATGTATCATAGAGTATGACAAGAGGCTTTTCTGTCTTTTGTAGCATCTCTACAGCAAGAATTTTACCGCAGGCTTTAGCCTCTACTTCTTTGACTAGCACAGGGTCATCACAGAAAGCTTCCAAACCTATAAAAAAACAAAACAGTAATTAAAACGAGGTTACAGCGTGCCCAATCACAAATGCTGCAAATGTGATTATAAAATAGCACTGTCAAATATTAGTAATTTCATATAGGCGACATTGAATGTCAACATCAGGAAGGTAAAAAATGAAATAGGAAACCCCCACAAAAACAGTAGAAAAGGGATTGCCAACGCAGATATTCATAGACAAACTGCTTTCAGACTATCTAGGCTGCTAAAGTTATTTGTTATTGGTTAGTATAAGCCTTTCCTTTTGTGTGTTCTAAAGGTGCCCATACACTGTGCGATTACAAACCCCGCAATCGTACGATAATCACAAAGTGTATGGGAAGGCATGCGACCGTTTTTACTGTACGGTCGCACGTCTTTTGTCTAAGGAGCATGCTAGAAAACCAGCCGAGAATCGTGCGATTTTCGGCTGGTTTTTAGCATGATCGTAAGATCAATGCCGCACAGGCCGGTGTGCACACGCGCACACTGCCAGTTCAGCATTGCGGTCATCGGAAGCCCGCCCCTCAGGGGGGCGGACTTGCGATGATCACAAGTACGATCTGCCTGTTCAAGATGGGCAGATCGTATGTTTTTTTAATTACTTTACAACCATCGCAAGACTAAGGTCTTGCGATGGTTGTAAAGTGTATGGCCACCTTTAAGCAAATCCCAAAGTTGACTCAATTTTTACAAAAATTTCAGCCTTCATACCGGCCCAAACTCTGGCCACCATGAAATTTGTAAATACATAATTAGTAATGGGGATTAGACAGGCCATTCAGGAGACACACTAGGGGGTCTCATGCATCCCTCTCCTCCTGGCAAAATCACAAAATGGAGCCGGAGGCCCTTCTCCCACATTCTTTGCACAATCACCTTTTCCTTGTTCTTATTGCAGTCCAACTCAATCAGAAATCATTACATAAGCACTGTTCAGTCCAAGGTATGTGTAAAATGTATTTAAAAGAGAACCATGGGGTAAGTGATTTTCCCCATAGTTCTCTTAGGGATCACGGGAGGACATATACTAATACTAACGTCCTCCTGTGACTCAACGGTCAGTATATAGCGAGCTATAGCTCACGGTATACTGAGACCACTGCAGCAGGGACGGAGCCCGACAATGCTGTCGTGATCCACCCAGCTGCGTGATTGACAGCTGGCTCTGCCTATCTATCTCTGCCTCCCCCGTCCGTTCCTCCACTCAGCGCATCTAGAATAATGAAGACACGGTCCAGTTAGAACCTGTAGAATAATTATATACAGGTTAGAACTGTATATATGTAAAGACTATTATATTACTGCTTCTACATTCTGCTGTGTTATGTGAAAAGCATGCTTTTTAAAACTTTTGACACTTACCTGCCAGTCTGCATTTTGTGGCTTGGAACGGAAGAGAGTAGAAGGGTTTGCTCAGCCTGCTGACTTTGGTGCAGTCAACCACTTCACTAAAGCCATAGTCCACATAGAGAACCTATGGAATAAAACATGCAACAAATGAAACGTACTACGAAAGAGCCCTGGGGCCATGCTAAAAAAAAATTTGAAACAAAATTCTGAGATTGAAAGTCAGAATTCGGAGATGAAAAAAGTCAGAATTCTGAGATTAAAAGTCAGAATTCTGAGATTAAAAGTCAGAATTCTGAGATTAAAAGTCAGAATTCTGAGATTAAAAGTCAGAATTCTGAGATTGAATGAGCTTTGTAAAAGCTGCGTCTTCTTGTTATCTTGGAGTACATATTAGGGCTAAGCAGTGAGCTCTATCTCCATTGCTGTATTGGTAGCTCCTTCAATGCATTTATTGTCTGTGCTGGCATTGTGGTGTCTTGAAGGTTACCTGTTTGCTGTTCCAGATAATGATGCTGCTCTTGTCCACAACTCTGTTTAATGGCTGCCAAACATGACAGACACAGCTTTTACAATGCTCATACACAGTCTGTCGATCGATAGTCAGTGTGCCAAGTGGGTGGTTATTACACTGTTGCCCATTGGTCCTATAATCTTACAAATCATAACACTCTTTAGAGGCTACTACCAGCGTTATAATCTCAGAATTCTGACTTTTAAACACAGAATTTTGTTTCATTTTTTTTTAGCATGGCCCCAGGGCTCTTCCGTAATTAAGGAATTCCAAGCATCTAAAGAAACATAACTGGAATAAGTAAACAGGTAGATCCATCCACTGAGTCACCAAACTTACAAACCAATAAGACTCACGACAGAATTCAGACAAGTAATGGTGAAGTAGACCAAGGAACTAAAAAAACCTGACAATAAACCAGTGTCAAGCACAGCAGAGCCTTAAAGAAGAACACTCATGATTTTTTAAAATCTTTCGTTAATTCTCCCGTATAGCACTTTGTATTGTCCTGTTCGGTGGCCTCATTGCTGATTTAAAGCACCGCTTATTTTTTTGTTAATACTGGTTGAAATTTCACCCCAATCTGAAGCCCAATATATTCTTTTGGGGGGCAGTACAGTCAGCACTGAGCCCCACTCCCTCTCTAAGAGGACCATTTACTTTACGACTATGAATGAACAACCATTGCTGCAGGGCTTTGTGACGGAGCGGTTGGCTGGTAGTAAACACATATGGCACCAGCAATTAGATTACACAGCCCGACAGTGCTGAGTGATGTAGCCACTGTTCCAATCTCGCTCCTGTTACAGGCTATAATTTCAACACAAATTGGTAAACTAAACCCAAGATTGTAGTCCATCACGGGAGCGAGCTTGGGGCGTTGACTACTTTACAAACACACACAGGGACCATGGGGAACAAAAGAAGCCCCCCTCCAGAAGGAAAGACAGTGTCAGCGCCAATTCAGAGATGATTTGAGGATCCACAACCGAGTGATACACAAATAAGATACATTTTTGTTACTAGTTAAGGTACGTGAATGCATTTTTAAAATGTAATTCCGGAGTTCAGTGCCACTTTAAACAACTTTCACTTCAAACTCCAAGGTTAGAAGTGAATTGGTCAAGTTTTAAATGCTTACCTTGATTTTATTATCTTCAAATGCAGATATCTGAGCACGCAGCCATGCCTCCTCTTCTGCTTTTACAGCCACAAGCTGTCCCAACTTCAGAGAATGTGATGAAACTGGATTTGCATTTTTGATATAAAACTCCTTCATTTCATCTTCCATCCGTTCTTGTGCAGCAGAATAGTCTTCACCAACATACCTAAGAAATAAACATTAGAATAGGTGTGCTTATGTGCACATTTTAACCAATGAATAATTACAAAAGTAGACAAGTCACTCTTATTCTCAGCATCTGGTGTGCTGTATGGCAAAGTAAGGCATGGCTTGCCAACATGCATAGTCTATAGGTATGCACAGATACTAGTATCGATGCCGAGTATTTGGGCGAGTACTCTTACTCACCCAAAAGTAAAGCCGGGCAGCGCGTCATTACACGTTGCCTGTCTTCCCGATTGACCGGGAAACCGGGTAGCGTGTAATGACGCGGTGCGCGGCTTTCCGATTGGTCAGGAAGCTGGCTTTATGCCCCCTCATGATGAGGAAGCCGGGTGCCGCGTCATTACACAGCGCTTGGCTTCCCGATTGGCCAGAAAGCCGGGTCCATGCTTTCGTCACATAGTGACGAGAAGCATGGGGACGGCTTCCCTGCTAATCGGGAAGCTGGGTGGCAAGTCTTTACACACTGCCCGGCTTCCTGAATGGGACTTCTGGTACTCTGTATTGGCGAGTACCGGAAAAACATATATTGGTACTCGTAACCGAAATACCGGTAATCTGTGCATCCCTAATATTCTATATAAATCTGAAAGTTCACAAACTAGTTCCAGACTGGTGGTATCAAATTGATTAGGATTACTTGCAAGTTCACACCAAATACCTTGTGTAATACGTAGTCTGACTTTTGGGTACATTAGCATATATACTTTTTTTTTTTTTTTAGGGACCCCCTTCCTGACCTGTGACTGGCAAACAAATAATTTACCCTTTGATGCAGATGACAATTTTAGTGGCAGTCTCTACCCCATCAATATAGGGCTCTGCAACAGGGTGGCCCCCACCGCTTAAGCAGTTGCTTGGTTGTTTTGCTTAGCATACCGGAACTGATCTCAATAGGAAATGTCTTTTTTGGGTTGCACTTTGCGGTCTTACAGAGAGCAGTGGAGAGCATACTGCAGGACTCTTTGTAGGATTCAACAAACAGAACAGACAGAAGAGGAGGGTGGAAATACAAATGTACTCAGAATGAATGGAAACCGCAATTAATGAACTCTCCTGTCAAAATGCTAGCTTTCTGGCTGTCATTCTAAAAATGTGACTTCAATGCTGTCAAAGTTGCTGACCCTAAACAGGTTTACAGATTTGTAGTTCTAACACCGATTTGCAGCATGCTTGTTCTAGGACTAACAAATGTACTGAAGGCACAGCCAGGCATCTAGCATTTTTAGAGGGAGGCCTGCAATGGCAGCCCCTATATTTCTCTCATGACAGACTCACTGTAACAGCCATCTACTAAAACCCTTACTAAGGTTAAAGTATCTTGCCTCCTGCTCTACAACAGAGGCCCCATTTTATTATTTCTACCCTGCCAATAGAAAACTAGACACGTAGACAAAAAGTTGTGATGGATATGGACATATATAATCGTTAATTAAATAGCACCATCTTCTTCTGTGGTACTAAAGAAAGCGATACAAGTAACATAGATAAGACAAAATACATACACGGCAATAACAGGACGCAATAGGACAGTGAACTTAAAACAGATCACTTGTCACCCGTATAAATCATACATCGAATGTCAATTAAATAACCACATCTCTCATACTGGGATTACACATTTTTACCCTCAACATAGTTAGAAACGTACAACTAAACAGAACTACCTGATCACAACTTCTTGTGTGTTGTTTAATTCTACCACAAGAACAGAGGGGGAAGCTTCCGATGGAATAACCAATGGTGGAGTAATCATGTCAGCATCTGACTCCTCCTCTGCTGAATGTGCCGTGCAGGATGGAGCTTCAGCCTGTTTTTCATTGTTCGCATTGACTGAAACGTTAAGATTTTCCCCCACACTTTCGATGGGCTTTGCATAAAGAATTCCTTTGTAAGGGTTTTCGGAAATGACCTGGATAGTGCAAATGTCAGACAGTTCTGCCACCTTAAAAGTTTCCAAAGGAAAGGTTATTTTGAATGCGTCTTCAAAGACTTTGGGAAGTGCATGTAACCAGAGACCACTGCTGTAGTTTGACAAGAGTTCACAAACTTTTCCCTTCAGTTCAGCACTAGAAATTGATTTTGCACTGAGTTCTGCTGGTGAAGATGGCTTTGAAGCACTAGAGGGCACATTTGGTTTAACCTGACCATTAGTATTTTGCTGGTTAATCTTGGGAGTGTTCGGCTGTTTTTTTGTAGTGGCGTAAAGAATGATCTCATTCTGGTTGTTGTTTGCAGGCCTTTGCACCTGAAAATGTATGCAGAATATAAGACAGTGGGCCATACACATACCAAAGATATTCATACCTACCCGAGCATTACAATCACTTATAAATTACAGCTATTTTTATTATAATGGTTAGGTGTTCAAAGAAAACATGTTTATTTTCCCTAAAACCATTTACCGTATATACTCGAGTATAAGCCGAGATTTTCAGCCCATTTTTTTGGGTGAAAAGTGCCCCCCTCGGCTTATACATTCAAATCCTATACAGAAACAAGCACATAAAAAGCAGAATAAAGAGGTTTATCACCCCAGGCTAGAAAGATTTCAAACCATTTACATCAACAGTAAAGCTAACCACACAGGGCAAATAACAATGTCCTAAAATAGATGAAACGTTTGGAACTGGAACCCTGCCTGATAAAGTTTACAAGATTCTAGTAGAGTGAGAATACTATGGCTTTCCTAAGAGAAACATATTAATACTAGGTTAAAAACCTATGACCAGGACCAATACATTACAAAGTGTGATGGTAAAAAGTTCTGGGCACCCCAATACTAAGAAAACCTTTGCCCCCCCAGTTTGCTGGAATGAGCCATTCATCACTGATAACACTGAAGTGATGAGTGGTAAAAGCTTCGCCTATGTCCAATTTTAGGTATGGGAGTTTTCTGCGATTTCCCAGGTGTGCGTAATTTTAAAGCTTGCCATGTTTGGCGTCTATTTACCTGACGTGATCCCATCTTTTACCAAAAAGTTGGGTAAAAATAAAATGTTTCATAACACAACGTAGAGAAAATAGTTTTTTTGCCAAAATTTTCTGTACTGTATTCATTATATAGTAAAAAATGAAACCCCCAGTGGTGATTAACCACCTCCCGTCCGCCCGATGGTTGAAAGACGGCCGGACGGGAGTCTCCTGGATGCGGGTGGGCGTCTTTAGACGTCCTTCTTTTAAAGCGTCGCCTCTGACCACTTTTGGCTATCGTGTTTCTTGCGATTTCGCGGGCACGCGCAATTTTAAGGCTTGACATGTTTGGTGTCTATTTACCCGACGTGACCCCGACTTTTATATTTTAGCAAAAAATTGGGTAAAAATAAATGATTCCTAAAATAATAAATGATTCCTAAAATAATAAAGGGAAACCCATTTTTAAAAAAAATTCAGTAAGTTTTTTGTTATATAGTAAAAAATAAAAAAACCCCAGTGGTGATTAAATAGCACCAAAAGAAAGCTCTATGTGTCCCCCAATTTTTTTTATAAAATTCATTTCAGTACAGCGTTGCATGACGGAATAAACGTCAGCCAAAGTACAGCAGCGCTGAATACTGAAAAATTGCCTGGTCAGGAAGGGGATGTAAACACCCTGGTCAGCAAGTGGTTAAATACAAGAGAAATCTCTATCTGTCCCCAAAAAATTATATAAAATTAATTTCAGTAGTGTCGCATGACAGAATAAATGTCAAAGTACTGCAGTGCTGAATACTGAAAAATGGCCTGGACAGGAAGGGGGTGTAACACCCAAGTCTGCAAGTGTTTAAAAACGATCTTTTAAAATCGTTAAGCTCAACTCAACACTCTAAATAAGAACTTAAAGTATGTTTGTCTCTGAACAGAGTTACCGTATTCTATATCCTGTTATGGTCTGGAGGGATAATGGGCATCATAGGCATTGCCTAAAGCTTTGAATTAGAACAACATATCCAGGCTACGTACGTATTTCTTTTTAAAACACGTGGTGGCAGCTATTATGTAACTGTGTAAAAGATTAACTGTGAAATTTACCAACCCCAGTAATGATCGCTCTCAGACTAGAATCTATCATGCCTGAGGCCTAATTTAATCTGCTGGGGCAGATGAGTACTTTTATCCCCAGTAGGGTAGGTTGTCCTAGGCAGCCCCAAAGAGACAATGACCTTCGAAAGGCATGCATAGCAAACACATGCCGATACAAGACAACAGATATCCACAAACCCATCTACACAAATGCTCAGGGCTGTTGGCAATAGCTCAAAATGCTCCAAAAGTCTGTTTGCAGAGATTCAGATCTCTTTATGGCCTAGCCCAGTCCCCTTTAGACTTGACAGACTAGCACCGCAGCCAGAGCCAATGAGGGGCCACGCCTGACGGAGCCTAAGAAAGATTCTGAGGACACAAGCAGAGGACAACATTCCAGGGTTTGTCAGTGTCTGACCCTTGAGTGAGTGCATAGTAGGCAGCACTGGAGTTGTTAGAGAACTGCAGGTTGGAAGGGCACATTACAGCTGGACTGTTTTCCTTTTGGCCAAGATCAAATATGCTGTACTGCAAGGCAGAAACACCGAAACGCAGAGTGCAAAGCTAAGCCTTTAATACTCACAAACCACTGCTGGTAGTAGGAGAGGTTTAGACAGCCAAAAGGGGACAACATTAGCAAAGACAAACCGAGGAGGATCCCTGTGTCACTTGCGAAAGGGGCAGTGGTGGGAATGCGTTACCACATGCTGAATAGCGGGAAGAGGAGCTTGTATGTGAGACACTACACCTATGGGGTTACAGCATCGCTCAATACCTCACAGTTAACCCTTTCAGTGAGATGCCAATGAAAGTAATGGTGCCCATTCAGTCCAGCAGAGTCCAGGAACAGCCTCCAAAGTGAATGCTGAGGACCCGGTGATCCAGATAACAGCACACAGAGACTAGTTTAAACAGCACATAATCTTAAGAAAAAATAAAAAATAAACAAACAATCTTGAATGTAGGGGAGAAAAGAAAAACAAACAAAAAAAAGGTAAGCTTTCTCAGTAGAGAACAGCGTCATCACCCTAGAATGCTGGGAGTGGGAAGCGTTAAACCACGCTGGACACGGTTTGTTTCCTACTGTCCAAGTTCAATGAACAAAAGAATAAAGCCAATTATGTTTGGGCTCGACCTTTGAAGAATACCCATGACCAAGAAAAAAAAAAATATTATATTGCAGCTTTCCAGCTCTTTGATGTGGTGGCTGCATTAGTTTTCTTTTCAAATTAGGAATATTTTCTGCAAGTACAGAGAATAGTTGTTGATCTTGCCAGAAATGCAATGTGATTGTCATTTCCTGTGAGCTGAATTGAAAGCACAAACACTGCTATCTTTCTTTCTACACATCTTCTGTAAACTGTGCACTTCCTTCCTCCTACGTAACGGAGATAGAAATGAAGGAGAGCAGCCTAGATAACAATCATGGCTCCCTCCACAGATACAATAAAGTGAATGAGCGTAGGCACCCAGGGAAGGAAGTATGTTATTCACATGATGACAGGTGAAAAGAGGGGAACTTGTCTAAAAAATTAAAATAAAGCCACCACATCTAAAGAATGGTAGTTTGAAATATATGCATTTTTTTTATTTTTGGGTTCAGATACAACTTAATTAAAAGCCATGAAAATTGGTACATATTAGAAAACACAGAAAAGGCCAGTACTAGTAGTGTCTACCTTCCCAAACTTGCATTTCAAACTGAATATGAAGGAACAACTATGGAAAACATGTTGCTGCAATGAAAGTGGAATGCATTACAACACTGCAGCATGAAGACCAAAAATAGCAGAAAGCACAACTTCTGATACATACCGTGCAAATGTGCGTCCAATTAACAATCTGTTTTAGCACCTCATCACTCAAATCATGTTTGAAGGTTTCCTTGTATATTTGAGGCAACTTGGACAGTGAAATACCATTACCGTGCTTACTGAACAAATCACGCAGGTTGCACTGAATCATAGGGAGGTTAGGATGGAAATTACCAAGCAATGCAGGTTTGCCCGGTTGTGTCTCATTAGCTAAAACAAACCAGAAACATTTTGTCAACATAAAGTACAAATGTAGTTTAAGTAATACAGGAGGGTGAAAACTACACAATAAAATGTATGTCATAGCAAAAAAGTACATCTAGCTGATACGTGCAAATTTCCCCAAGTTATGTCGCTTTATATGCTGCAAAGTACAGAAAAATAGCTGCCGGTCTGCTGGAAACTCAGTGGCCTGCTTAAATCCTAAGCAGTACCATCAATCCTGCAAAGCTCTCACTTGTTGGACTACAGAACACCTCCCCTTTATATTTTGGAGATTAACAGGGGGTAATCAACTAGGAATTATATACAGTACAGTGATTGGTACTGTTTAAAAAAGTTTTTTTTTTAAAAGACTAAAAAGAAAATCGAAATCAATGCAACCACAACATCTAATAACTTGTAAGCGGCAATATTAAAAAATGTTTGTTCTTGGATTGAGATACATTTTAAAAAGTATGTATTACCCATCACCCCATTGCATCTGACCGCACTTTTTAATTGTTTGTTATAAATCAAATTTTGCTTGATGCAAAAAAGGTAAATAGTCTATGGCAGGGCTCAAAATTTCAAGTCCTGAGCTACTAGCCAGGCCTTAAGAGTTACTCGCCACCAGTTGCCCCACCTAACCCTTACCCTGCCCCGGCCTTAACTCCACCCCTAAACACACCCTCTTAAATAATCTTATGATAATTCTTGTAAACGGGAGATTAGGGATTCCTGCTGCAGGAAAATGCAAGTTCCTGGTAGGTGTGAATCGGGCCTAATATACACATACACTAAAACACAATACACTTCTCAACGTTGCACTCCCCCCCCTCACAAATATAATAAAATTCCCCCCGCACACAAAAAATAATACACTCCCCCTTCTCCCTTATTAACCCCCCCCACACACCTAAAATAATACCCCCCACACACATAAAATAATACACTCCCCCTTATTAACCCCCCCCCACACATAAAATAATACGCTCTCCCCTTATTATGAAGGAAGCCGTGGAGCTGCTCCCGCAAGTCAGGTACGCGGTCCGTGATGTCAGCTGGCAACATAGTACCGGCTCGCAGGCCGCAGTTGGTCCGCGGATCTGGTACTTGGAAAACCCAAATTTCCCCTCGCCCTCACTTTATTTTTACTCGCCAAATGCGAGCAGGCGAGTGGAAATTTTGAGCCCTGGTCTATGGCACTGGTTCACTATACTGTAAAAGCTTTTTCTGGAGAGCATTGATATTGGTCACCCAAGTATAAACAAATTAATTTGGGTAATGAAATAATAATCTTTATTAGTGTTCACTTATTAATAAAAATTGAGCTGTCTGAAATAAAAGTTGTTTTTTGCAGTTTTATTAAAAAGTTATTTCTAAAACAGAAACGTAGCCAAACTGTTTGTGACAAGATAAAAGGAAAAAAAGTCCTCTGTAAATATAAAATCAGAATTCTGACTCCCCATTATTCATATCGTTTCAGATGGGTAGTTATTAAAGATGCAGGGAGAATTGCATCACTGTTTCCTGTATCATTTGTACTGTGAGTGAAGGGTATTATCATGATGTGCCCTAGGTGTTGGGGTTACGACGACACCCTAAAATTGCAGAACTGGGTTGAACGATGCAGAGTATCATCCAACCCAGGACTAGCGTTGGACCACGGATTGCTGAGCCTTCGGGGGACAGTGCTAGAGTGGAGGTGAGTATTGAAGTCAGAGCTGCATGTTTTGCTTTTAGAAAGGCTGGGGGAAGAAGAAAAACCCTGGCGGAAGTGGATATCAGGAGGAATGTCCTAGAATGTTAGCGTATACCATAACTATGTGTGCTATAATACCTATAGTATTGAATCTTATGTTAAGATTTGTCCAGTTTAGACCACATGGCTATAATACCATTCGATCTGTACCAACTTACCATTGGAATCTGTAGTGGTTTGCTGAAACGTATGTAGGTTTGCTTCTTTCTGGAATCGGGGAGGAAGAGTTACTTTTCTTTCAGGCCTGTCAGAGACAGTAATATAAAGACTGTTTCTCAATTAATATAAATACTGTTTACCAAATAAACTATACTTGTAAACGACTTGTGCTTACACTTAATAACTAGTCACAGCTGAAGGAAATATTCAATTTCCAGAAGCCAGTATAAAAAATAATAAAAATGAAGCTGCTTTGAAAACTCTGCATTTTATTTGTAATGTTCTGTTGATCCATTAAAATGTAACAAGCATTTTTAGGACAAAACAGATCTGCAAACCGTTTGCATTCATCTGGTGTCAATGCTTTGTGACAACTAGTCCCAAATTTTCCATGGGGATTACTGCAGACATGGACAATGAAAGCACATGACAGACATCTATACTATCTGATGTGACAAACACAAAGTGGAAAAAAGATGATTTAAGCAAATGTGCAAGCCAAACTAGTCTCCAGTTAGGCCTGCATCAGCTTAAAATGAAAGGAACCCGTGTAATGAGTATTAACAAAAATGCTTCTGAAGCACACATAAGCTTGCTCCGCAGCTACAGCAGCATGGACAATGTGGTAAATATCCGAAGCATACAGTCTGTGATAATAAGTGGGCTGCATTTCATAAATGTCCTTCTATTTAAGAAAACCACTCTTTTCACATGCATAATCTCTTCTGATAAAGAGGTGAGCCTAATTAATGTAACGCACTGAAACACATAATAAGCAGATTTGGAAGTCAACTACATAAACAATGGGCACGTTTGGCTGGATAAAAAAATATGGTATTGCCCCACACTGTAGGGCAGAAGCTACTGTTAGGCAAATCATTTCTCCGATTGTTTTTTTTTTTTTTAGATTTAGAAATGTAAGAAGGATTTTAAAAAATTAAAATGTTTTAAGCAGAGGAAGATTTCAGAATATCTAAAAATGCAATGTTTTCCTTTAAACTAAAGGTTATACATAAAGAGAAGAAACAGGGAGTGCTTTGCGGTCATCAGGCCTGGGCAATCACTCAAAGTGTGGCCTCTGTAAACATATGAAGTGAAATATCCCTATTGATATTCTCCCCATTCATTTTGGAATTCCCACCTGTTAATAATGGGTTGAGGTCTCTGCACTGGCACCTCCTTTAGAAGCCCTGCTCCATAAACTGGTGCTGAGTGTAGAGGACTAGGGTTTGCTGGTGGCCAGCCACTCCAAACAGCCCCCTTTCCCCATGCAGATGGCATTACAGGCCTTTTCAAAACTCGGTCAGGCTGGGATGCAAACCCTGGCTTTCTAAGCATTGCCTTTGGTTTACCTGTAACAAAAGAAAAAATGCATTCAAATGTCATCAGGGAGCATCAGGTTTTGGTTGAAAAGCAAGGAGCTATACAATGTGCAATGCCAGACAAATCTGTTAAAAGGTATGAGACCTCCTGGATCAAAGTTAATATTTTATGTTACTACTTTAAAAAAATAAAATAAAAAATGGAATTTTGTGCTTGCGAGTCAAAAATTAAATCAGAACCTACCAGAGTGCTGGACTGTACAAAATGTTTTACCCTACAGCTAGCATGCACAGCACATCTAGGTCTGAGTACCTCACACTGTAGACATATTGCTATAGGGCCCCATTGCGCGATTCACAAATTGCGCGTTTGTCGCGCTATTTGCATTTTGCTCAATGTCACGCGATATCGCGCAAATGCTTGCATTGAGCAAGCGAGAATCGCGGCAAAATCCGCTCCAAAAAGGGTCCTGCTGTAGCGACACACGACCCGCGACAGCATGACCCTTTGCCCCATTGAGATGCATTGAAGAGCGATATCGCGCGGTAAATAGCCGCGATATCACGGGAATTACCGCGCGATGAATCGATCAATGTGAACGGGGCCTAAGGCTACAACACAGGAGTACCTAGGTAAAGTCATGAGTCAGGGAGTGCACGGCTATTTTTCACACCAAAGATACATTTTTAGGGCACTACTTAGGCAAAATTAACATTTTAAACAATTCTTCTAAGATAGAAAATCTTCAATTTTTTTTTGTTTACTTCAAATACAATTTACCTAGTTTAAGCAATAACTAAAACGGGACATCTTTGTCTGGAGTCGAGCTTTAAAGTGATTATAAAGATTAAATGTTTATAACTAGGGATGCACCCATACCGGTTTTTCGGTATAGAGTGCCGATTCTTATTTTTTGGTACTCACCAATACAGAGTAATGATACCGGTACTTCCGCTAGCATGGATCCAGCTTCCCGTGCCAATCAGGAAGCTGGGCGGTGTGTCTTTACTCGTCGCCCTGGCTTCTTTATTGTCTGGAAAGCCGGCTTGATGCGGATTGACTGGGAAGTATCGAGCCCGCTTCCCAGCCAATCAGGAAGCCGGGCAGCGAGTCATTACCCGTCGCCTGGCTTCCTGATTGGCCGGGAAGCCAGCTCCATGTTCCCTAGCAGCACTGCCAGTCAAGGGACATCTATCGGTGCATCCCCATAAGTTACTTCAGATGCTATTGAAATAAATTACAGTCTTTGCTGCGCCATTTTATATTTCCTCTTCCTTGACATGCAGCACGAGTATGCCCCCTGGGTGCCAGTCCTGATACCGCTTTTGGAGTGTCTGCTTTCTCTTGAAGGATCCCATGTAGCCACCCATGCGTGTGAACTTTCAGCTGGCACTATGGACCAGTCTACTTGCATCCACAGATGGAGATTGCGCCACTCTCCTTACCTCCTCCTCCTCCTTGCAAGTGATTGCTTGGAGCTGGAGCCTGCAAAGCCCCTAGTGCAGAGTGCATGTGAAGGATTCAGGGTATGAGATACACTACCCAAAAGTGGACCTAGAGCCAGCGGTGGTGAAAGGCAGAGTATGTAATGTTTTGGCACACATACAGAGAAAAAAAATGTCCAGTGGTGTTTTTCACTCTTTCATTGCTTAGAATTCATAAAAAACTGAAGAGAATCTGGAGCAGTTGCCCATAGCAACCAATCAGCTTCTTTTATTTTCAAAGCTTAACCGGACAAACTGAAGAGAGAAGCTGGTTGGATGCCATGGGCAACTGCTCCAGATTCCATTTGCACCAGGTTTGGATAAAATCCGTCCCTGTGTGTTTAATGCTACTTGTAGAGCAGTTTGAGCCACCCCGAAAACTAAAATGGTTGCCACAACTGCTCCATATGCTTGGAGGTAGGAGGGCTGCGTTAACATGAAAAATAGGAATTTTGTACCCACCGTAAAATCTATTTTTTCTGTTTAAGTAGACAGTGGATATCATGAATCTCTGTCCACTGGGTTATAGCACCACTTTCAAGGGTAGGATGCTAGGCATAAAAGCAAAAGCACATCCTAGGGACAGGGCCCCTGTTGATCAGCATTCAGGATTCTCCTGGTGACCAATTTCCTTGCACCAACAAGGTGTCAAAGACCTCCCCAGCTTATCAGGCTGGTATCCCTCATGAGGTCCACCAAGAAATCAGGATTAACGATTTCCCAAACTCCAGAGCTGGACTCCCGAGCAAACAAAGCCTAGATAACTTGGTTTTTGGCGTCAGACAAGTTGAGCTGTCCGGATACTGGACTAAATTGTCCTATGGATGACAGAATGTGGAGTTGTAGTGACCGGAGTGGAGCCAGTCAATGGAACGGATTCAAAGGAGTCTACGCTCAGGCACACAGCTCCCATGCAGAATCGCAGAGCACGACGACTCGTGAACTATAGAGTTCGAGTCTGGACACAGAAAGATTAAAAGTCCTCTCGCGAAATGAGAAACTTGGCTTGAACATCATCAAGGGCAGGTCCTAGAGACACAAAGTTATAGTTCCTGAAGATTCAGCACTTAACCAATCCAAAATCAGGGCTTGTGTAATCTGAAACGCATTGTTGGTCAGAACCTGAGCCTACTGATCCATCAAACAGGAGGTCATCCAGATTTCCCATATGGGAATGCCCTGGAAATGTAAGGCTAGCACAGGTGCCTACACCATGGTGAACACTTGGGGAGAAGGAAAAAGACGACAAAAAGGGAGGCTGAAAGCCCACAGAAAGAGAAAGAAGCATTGAAGTGTTGAAAAAATGGGAACAAGAGTCAGAAAGTCTCTCTGATAAAGAGGAGCTTTGATTGACCTAGTGGATTCCAGAGAAAATGCTGGCCCCGAATTAAGGGAACAGAAAAAAAAAAAAATGTTTGAGCAATAACCCCAAAATATGTCCACGTATTAATGTGGGCAATAACGCCTAGATCCAAAGATCTGCATGAAAATCTGTTATAGGGGCAAGAGAAAAACTCTAGCTTGAAGCCTCTAGAGAACAAAGAATAAATTACACTCTATGACAGATAAAGCATCCCCAGATAAACTCTCAGGGGCCACAGGCAGGACAAAGAAGGATGCTGTAAGGGGATAAACAGAGTGGGCTATGGCCTTTGTAGTCAGAGACTGTAATCAAAGTGCAACTTGTTGCCTAAAGCAAGCCTGACTGCAGAGAAATCCCCTCAAACAGAAAAATAGGCAGGAACCAGGGAGGAGGGCAGGCCCCAAAGATTTACAACACCTTGGATCCTGCATTGAGTGAGAAGGATCACTAAGTCCACTGCAAAGCCTTTTCCTGCCAGTAGTTGCCTGTGCCACAGCAAAATAGAAGAGCGTAGGGGCTGAGGTCATTAGCCAGCCATTTAGAACACTGCCTATTCAATAACATGGGCACCGGCACGTTCCATTCAGAATTCCTTGCAAAAAATAAGAGAACCAAGTTTCTCAGCAGGGAGCTTAGGTGCTTACTCATTGACTGTAGGCAAAAAACTGCCTAGATGTCTCTAGCAGATGGGTTGGGGTGGGGGGGTTTGGCTATCATCAGGGGCCATCCTAGGCTGTGCTTTTGTTTTGGCACCTAATCCTAAAAGGTGGTGCTTTTAACGCAACAGTCAAGACATTCCACTGTGTCGTTCAAAGGCAAGAATAGAAATATAGAAACATACTTCCATTTGGTAAAGTCATTTTAATTATATTCAATATTACACAGCTTATCTATCTCTAGAACTCTGATATATTATTACCAAAGTGAGTGAAGGGAACAGAATATTTCAGCCTCATCTGGCAGTTTACTTGGCCTCCGGATTTCTTTTTTGAACTTCTTTGACGTGCCACAAGCTCAGCAATCTGGGCTGTCTCCTTGCAGACCACAGCATGGCAGATAACCTGAAATTTACAAATAAGTTAATTAGAGGTGCATAGTAATTATTAATCATGGCTGGCTTCTCTTGAGGACTCTTGCAATGAAACCTGCTTCTGAAGTATACTGCGCTCTCCCCCCCGCCCCCCATGAAGTCTTAATCCTCCCACTTCCTTTTCTGTACATGTATATAGTAAATACAAGCAACCAGAAAAGAGAAAAAAAAAAAAGCAGTATACATTTAAAGAAAATGTTCAACCGGGATAGATATGTGGGCCATCATTACCAACATCCTTTATAATAATTCTAGATAACTGGTTATCCATTTAAATCCGAACTTCTGATCTGATCACTTAAAATGCTGATAGCACCAGATTAGCTCACGCCAGCCAACTAGCATTTTCAGAAAGGGGAGGATCAGCAGTGACAGCCCACATAGATCGCAGCATGGGCTTTCTTTTACTTTGTGATGACTGGCTAAAAACTCACCAAATTGAACAAACGTACACATAATAGGTGCAGGAGGTATGTGGACCTAAAAGGTATTCATAAATCCAAGACACTTCTAGTCAGAGAGGCTGGTAGACACTGTTGATATAACTTATCACCGAGGAACAATGGCAAATAGAACAAGTTTTCTAGCCTAATAAATAGGCTGTCCTTTTTAGGTTCAGTTTACTGGTGGTAGTGCTCAGGATTCAAACATGAAAGAGTGGACGAGTCTGATCAAACATGGCGACTGTCATCTCATGTCTACAATTAGTTTATTGCAGAGCTGGGCAAATCCTACTCACCTAGGGGATTAGAACAGGACATCCTGCTTACTGGCCTTTTCTTCTGTCTCTAACCCTACCTGCCCACAAGTCATAAAATAGTTGGAAGCCTTCGAGTTGTGCAACTAAGCCAGGTAGATCATGGGTTTCTTATTAGTGATGTGCCACCAGTTAGTGTTAGCAGCTCTTATTGCAATCTGCAAAACTCTGTGTGACAGACAAGTATGTTCTTGAAGAAGCTGAACAGTATAAAGAAAGTCTGGGGGAAGAGAAGGAGACAAAGGAGTGGAGTAAAGAATAGTAGATATGGATTGAAGAGGGAAGCGAGACCAAATTAACACATGAACATGTGTGATGGGAGAAGAAAGCGAGAGATTTATTTTAAAGCAAAAATAAAATAAAGACCACTGAAGAAATACAGGAGTAGACAAGGAAAGGCTCCACGGGAGAAGTAAACAGAATAATATAAGTGGATTAAGATAGGACAGGGGTGTCAAATTTAAACTTACTGAGGGCCATGCCAAGGGTTGTGAATAAAATCAAGGGCCAGACAAAGAAGAAAGCTCAGGCCCACTTATTATATGACATTCCTGATGTCCTGAGTGTGGGGGCACTACAAGTGTCAGCAGTCCCTCTCCATTAAATGTTTTTGTTATATAGTATCCTACTTATCTCCACTTTATATAGGTTAGGTTGCTCCAGATACTGCAAATCCTGTTTAGCAAGAGTGGCTTGAAGCTTCCCTGTTTGGGAACAAGTCACCGGCGGTCCCAGCTGTTAATATTTGAACAGTGAATGCAGCTGACTGGTGACATTCTGCAGGGTTTACTTTTACTGCCAGCTATTGTGCTTTACCACGCAGGTGAATATACATGCCCCACAGAGATGATTGGGAGAGCTTAACTCAGCTGGACAATTTTTAACTAAAAAGGTAAAGCTGTCCTTCAAAGCTCCAAACAATGAGGGCTCAGTCACACTAGATGCAGTGCGTTCCGGCACGATTTTGGCCGGAACGCACTGGCTCGCATTGCAGTCAGCTCATTTTTTTGTGGGGTAGGAGGGGGCGTGGCTTGCCATTCAGGTGAATGGCGCCGTAGCCACGGCCTCCGGCCGCAATGCGATCCACCGCACGGGATCGCAAGGCAATAGTGCTTGTAGCATTTTGATCGCACCGCACAGGTTCGGACCACAGGCACAATTTCACGCCCCCTCCTACCCCACTAAAAAGTGAGCCGGCCGCAATGCGAGGCAGTGCGTTCCGGCCAAAATCAGGCCGGAACGCTCTGCATCTAGTGTGACTGAGCCCTGATTTCCACTCTGAATTGTCTAATGCTGCAAGTGGTGGACCCCAAAATTCAGATTTGGAACCATTGCTCTTGCTTGCCAACTTGTTTTTAAGTTATATAGCATTGGGACTGTGTCTAATTGCAGAAGGCAAAAAGTAAAAATACATTTTTTTTGTCCAAGAAAAATACAAAAACAAACACATGGCATTTGTTCAGAATACATATACAGGGCTATTCCCAAAAGGGTGAAGAGTTTGGAGAAGGCAGGAGAAGTGGACAATCTAGGACAACGTAGCTGAACTGGAAAGTGAGCTGAATGAGAGATTTTTTTAAAATCAGCTATGTTGCCCTAGATTGTTAGCTGCTCCTGCCTTCTCCAAACTCTTCACCCGTTTGTGAATAGACCTGATAGCAATTTAGCAAATTAAATGTCATCTGGTCAAGGTTAACGTTTGGCATAGCAGAACACCTTACCTCGCCACCTCGGCTGACTTCGATCCTTACAACTGTTGGAATGGCTTTAATGTACGCTTCAAGTGTGTGGAAGCCCATGTCCTTGAATGGAATATATTCTCCAGTAAGGGATTTATATTCACTTTGCAGTCTAGGAAAAGGCACACCATTTTTGTTAGACTGCAAAACAGCCCGCAGCATCTTTGCTACAAGATCTTTGTCCGGTTCCAGCATTTTGCTATTAGGGGACAGAAAGAAAAAAAAAAAAAAAATAAAGAAGGAGCATTATATATATACACATTTTTAAAAAAACATTAAAGCAGGACTCCAGGTAAATGAACAAAGATCATTTAGTCCAATTATGCATCTATTAGGACATAGATTTACAATACTGCAATAAATCTTTATAATCACATGATTTACACTTACCCTTTCCCTGCCCCTCTGAGATCTTCACTGCACTGGGAGCTGTGCAGCCACAAATTTAAAAGCCCCCCAATTGTTCTCTTCTAGTATGTTCAACAGTGGGCATCCATTCTATGACAGTTAATAAAGACTGCGACGTGCTAATCTCAAAATCCCCCAAATGACTCAAAGCAACCTTCTACCAACAGTTTTAATCATTTGAAGGTTTCACCAGAGGCTGGCTGTTGCATTCAGGCCTTCAAACAATCAATCAAAAGCTAAGATTGACTGAAATAGCCATTTCCATGGCCATCAATACAGATGCAGAGTAGAACATGCACATTATCATGTCATAGTTGCAGACAAGAAAATGCAAGTCACAACTTTCAAGTTCTAATTTGTAGGTACCTACAGACATCAGAACATATGCAAGATCTGGCTGATTGGGAATAGGGAACATATTAGTTTAATATTGGAGCACCTTGTATTTTACGTATAGCTATGTTAATAGGATTATGATCTCATCTGCAAAAGCAGATATGTGAAGCTGTTGATTCCCTGTCCATCGGTCTATTAATCAGCAGGCTTCCTTGACACGAACTACATAATTACTTTGCTAAATCTAGGACTCTGTACTGGGCAAAATCTAGACACTGGTCAGAAAGATCATTTCCATAGAAGGCAGTAAGAAATGAAAGAGCACCATTAATGAGCTAATTCTGTGCTCTCCCCTACTCTTGGGTTCATTTACAAACCACTAGCTCCCCTAGATGGTGCTGACAAGTGTAGATTATTATGTATAGACAGAGGAAATATCTACATATTTAAATCTAGGGGCACTAGTGCTGTGTGAACAGCATCTGTCAGGTTATAGGCGGACTTTTTATAAATGAACCCCCTTTTGCTAGGTCGAAAGCAGAGTGCAATGCAACACAGCTCTGACAGGCTCACATTGCTAGCCATCCCTCTTTTAAGCTGGGTATACACCGTTATATTGTCTTCGTTCAACCTGCAGGCTGCTGTCAGAATACACAAACACAGCTTGCAACTTGGAGTGGCTGCTAGCGGCATTCGGCCTAAGATTTTCCAATCTGCTCTTTCAATCAGCTGATCGAGGGATGCCAGGTGGAAGGGTGCCGACAGGAGCACCCACTGTGTGAATTTTGGACAGTTCATCAAGAACTGGCTGAAACTCGTACAGTGTATATACTACTTTAGGGATTGTTCACACCATCTCCAGACCGGTTTTGGATGCATTTCTGCAGAAGTGTATATACATGTTTATTTTCATGCCCTTCAGATGGTCTTTTTCTTATTTGGTTTTGCTTTAGTTTACGCAAGTTCCTGTGCGTTTACATGCATTTTTTACCGTTCTGGTGCGGAACAAAAGCATGCTGCTGCATTTTCTTTTTTTTTTTTTAAGTTCTGGAACTGAACACAATGGTGCGAACTAGCCTCATTTAACCCCTTCACGACCCATGACGGGATAATCCTATCCGGCGGCGAGTCTGTTCAGTTTTGTAGGAGGTGGCAGCTGGCTTTACAGTACAAGCGGTTCTGGCTGGCTTCTACGATCCGGTAACAGGAAAGCTCCCCCAACACCCCCGCCGTGTTTTCTGGGCTCCGCTGCCCCTCCTACGGGCCCAGGACCGGCTTGCCGGGTGTCGGCGAGATGATCAGTGAATGTCCGTTCACTGATTTCCTCCCTGTCCTATGGGACCAGGAGCGACGCGTATTGAATCACTTCCGGTTCCTGAGCTGTCATTGCTGGGCTCCTGAAGCCCAGCAATAAGCTATTGAAGTGCGATATTCCCTTCAATAGCTTATTTAGAGTGTAAAGGTGATACTAGGGGTCTTTTGGACCCCCAGCATCACCTTAAAAAAAGGGACCTGTCACCACCAATATGCTTTCACATAGGGGGTTTGTAAGCCAACCATGTGATAGCAGTTAAAGTTTAAAAAAGTAATCATAAATTAAATGTAAAAGTAATGAAAAAAAACATGTTTTTAAAGTGTCCCACTCCCGCGTCGTCAAGTAAACACGTGTCGGGTCCGCCTAAGTAGGAAAACGACCATTGCGCTACACATGTTGGGTATCGCCGCACATGCCAGAGTGAGATAAATAATTCTAAGGCCAATATTTACACGTCTCTAAACTGATGACCTGTAGGGGTTTTTACAGCTTCGGCTATGGACTTTTTGGGGTACTAAATTGTTGCAGTTTTACGGACGCACACAGTTTGTGACCTGGGCATGTTGGGTATCTAGTTACTTGTTGTAACCTCATCTTTTATATTTTACAAAAAAACAATCGTTTTATATAGTGTTTTGGGGCACTTACTTTAACTTAAGTGCATTTTTCACAAAATGTTGGGGTTTGATAATAAGTTGCGCTAATGTCTAAGATTTGCAACTTCCACCATTTTATTCTATAGGGTCTTGACTTTCAGAAAATATATAATGTTTGGGGGGTTTAAGTAATTTTCAGGCCTAAAATGTGGATTATAAATTGGGTGCAAAAAAATGAAAAAAGGCCTGTGTCCTTAAGGGGTTAAAACCATTGGAATTACTGTGTATGCGTTTTTGGTGCAAATGCACAAGTCTGGAGATGGTGTGATTAAGCTCTTATTATTGTTGTACTGGGGATTACAGAAAGCTAATATCAGTTACAGAGTCTGTCTCTTTATAAGGACAGACTCTATACCACTGGTGCCCACAAGGTCGATCGCGATCTGTCCTCTCCTCCCGCCGCTTCTCTGGATCCCCGCTGCTCTCCCCAGAGAAGAAGTGAAGGAACCGGCGGCGGGGAGGGCTGAGGACGGAGCCGCTGTCACAGAACTAATGCAGAGCGGCGAGGAGAGAGAGAGAGAGAGAGAGAGACGCTTGGCCAGGATCTGACAGCCGGCGCCTCTATCTCCCCTCACTGCTCGTCCGTTCTGTCACAGCGGCTCCGCCCCCCGCGGCTCGTCGTATCCCCCGCTGCGTCTGCCCGGGAGAGCAGGGGGATCCAGAGAAGTTGCAGCCCCCCTGTGCGTGGACGAGCGGCAGAGGATCGGTACATGTCACTAGTATGTACCAATCCTCTGTGTAGGACAAACACTGGAGCGATCGGCTGATCACTCCAGTGTTTGTAAATAACTGGGGACACATAGTACTATGTGTCCCCAGTTATAAATGAATGAACAGGAGGTGATTTACATCACCTCCTGTTCATTCATAAGTTTCTCAATGGGGAGAAGCACTCTGTACAGAGGCTCCTCCCCATTCAGAAACAGCTTGATAGTAAAATATTTTCTGAATGAATGGGAAGCCTCTGTGCTTTCCATTCATTTAGAATAGAGGCTGCAGAAAAAGAGATTGAGGACTTTGTGTCCTCAATTTCTTTTTCTATTTTAAAAGGGAAATATCAGGGGGCTTTTTAGACCCCTAATATTTCCCCGAAGCCTCCCCCCCCCCAAGAGTAAAAAAAAATTACAAAAATTTAAAATAAACAATCTTGCCTCAGGCGCAAAAGGAGCTGGCTACGGCTATGCTCCCGTGGTGCTCGTGCGGCTGCCGGCTGAATGTGTCAGACGCTGCAGATGGAAAGGTGCAGGACACCCCATGTGCAACGTCGGCCACACGAGCACCACGGGAGGACAGGACGCCGGGACCTGTAGGGTGCACTGGAATGTAAGCCGGCCGACTCCCTGCGTTCAGGTGCGGGAGGGGGTGTGGAGCTGTATTGAAGTCAATGGCATCGCCCACATTGTGATCGCCCGCACTCGGAACGCAGGCACATTAGTGCCTGCATTCCGGTCCAGTGCGATCTGCAAAAATAGTGCTCGCAGAATTTTTGCGGATCGCACTGGACTGGAACACAGGCACTAATGCAGGCCATTGCACTGTGGGCGAGGGGCCTGCCTGTGGAGCCTGGCTGCGGTGCCATTGACTTCAATGCAGCGCCACGCCCCCTCCCGCCCCTGAATGCAGGTGTTTTTTCGTTGGTAGATCTCAATGAGCTCGTCATTTGAAAAGTAGATCTCCAGACGAAAAATAGTGGGTGCCCCTGCTCTATACTGATGGCAATTCCTTTTACTGAATACAGAAATGGATTGAGGAGGCCTTTACACCCATATTCATGGAGTTCCAATTTAAACATGAACAATTATTATATCTTGGTCTAGAGGAGTACATTTGAGTACAAATGACCTATAATCAATATCTGCCCTAAAGTTTCACACAAACAACAAATGTTTGTGTCAAAATGTAAATAACATTTGATTTGTATCTGTGAGGGTTGTGTGTAGATGGAGGGGCATGCCAGGTAGATGTTGTCTGTTATTTGTATTGCATATACCCACTGCATCTACAAAGCTGTGTTCCCATATGGTCTATGGGTAGCATTATGTACTGACAATAATTTTCATCTATCAAAACATAACCTGTTGGAATATAAAGAAGGGAAACTACAATCTTGGTTTATAAATAAATATATGATAAACGATTCCTACAGCATGATGGTTTATCTAAAAGAGACAGCATAGTAGTAGTAACTAGTCTTGGGGGGGGCGGGGGGCAGGTCTTTAAGCTACAGACGGAGGAATTACACAAGCTGTAACTGCCAACAAAGGGATAACAGTTCCATTCCAGCCTTCTTCTCTACCTGCTCTCTGACACCTGATGTCCATTGCAGTGCATTACTGTACCTGCTGTTGTTTCTAGAGTTCAGCTGCCCTGCATGGACAGAGAGCAGACCCAGATCTCATATGCATGCGCACACATATTGCAGAGCAAATACAGCAGTACAAATACAAAGTACGCCGGTATTCGCATTCTGCTCACTATCTGTAC